AAAACAACCAATTAACCAAGAAGGTAAAAAAGCCCCCAAATCTGTCAGTGATGTTCTACCTTTTCTTGAATTAACTCAAACCCCTTAAACCAGTCCTGTCTTTCTAACTACGTCAGCCACCTCCCATTTACCTACCCCACCAACACTGCAGACAGAGGAGAGGTATTGTCTTGTCAACACTGGGATGGCCAAGACTGTGTCATATTCATTTTTTTAACCCTCATAGTATTTAGTGTAGTGTCATTCCTGAAAAGGGGGTTCAAGAAATGCCTCTGACGGTATATACTCAAAAGAATGAAAGCAGGGACTCAAAGAGCCGTTTGCACATCCATGTTCATAGCAGCGTTATTCACAGTAGCCAAGGGGTGGAAGCTACCCAGGTGTCCATCAATGAACACTTTTATTCTGTCCACACAAAGGAATATTATTCAGCCTTAAAAAGGAAGGAAATCCTGACATACTTTACAATATGGATGCAACGTGAGGACACTCTGCAAAGTGAAACGAGCCAGTCAGAGAAGGACAAGCACTGTATGATCCCTAGAGAGGTCAAGTTCACAGGGACAGAAAGGAGAATGCTGGTTCCCAGGGGTGGGGGACCAGCACCGCCTCCTTGGGCAGAAGCAGCAGAGGGAAAAATTCTGACAGCAACAGAAAGCTTAAGAATTCTGATTTTTGCCTCAGAAACAGACTGGATGAGTGGACTGAGTCCTGCCCCCTCCCCGCCTGCCAAACTCTTAAGGATCTGACTCGGGACCTTGGAACACAGACCCAGGATCCAGGTACGTCGTGGGTGGATCATGCCACCATTACTGTGCCAGGGACGCGCCCTCAGGCAGGACCCCTTTTGTTTGCAGAAAAACCGAGAAGGACAAGAAAGGAGCTAGTGGTGGGAGTAAGGATGATTGGTTTTTTCTTTTTAAAAACTCTTAGGTTGTGTTTAAAAGATAAGCATGGCTGGGATGTTATGCTGTGGATCAAAAGTTAACACATTATAATGGACTAGACTTCAATTTTAAAAAGAAGCACGTAGAAATTAGATAAAAATAAAACAGTAAACATTTTTTAAAAAGATAAGCTGTGCCTCAATTTTTAAAATTAAAAAAAAAAAGATAGGCTGGTAGAAAATTGGCTGGTGTTCACGGTTTCCTTGGGGTCTCAGGAGAGACACGCACCCAGTTTCCGAGACTGTCCCTCCTGGGGATGGGAGGGATGGGGGTCCCACCCTTTCCCTCCCCGTAATACCTCTCCTTCTGTGCATCTTCCAAAGAGCAAGGCCACCCCAAGTGGAGATGACGGTATCTGTCTACAATTGGTTGATTTGCTGAGTACTGAAAGGATGGCTCGTCCCCAGATATGTAAGCTTTGTTCATCCCTTCCTCCCCGAATTTCTGTGCATGTCTACCACGAGAGCAATGACAGCAGTTCCCAAGCCTCTTGTGGAGTTTCTGAAAAAATACAGATGCTCGTGCCCTGCACTCAGAGTTTCTGGTTTCACTGGCCCAGGGTGAGGCCCAGACATTCTCCGTGAACATTCTGCTCCCAGGATTAAAGATTCCTGGTGATTCTACTCAGCAGAGATGAGAACCACTCGATTAGGCTGACATGACTAAAGATCTCATTTCCTGGAAGGGCAGCACTCACATGTGCGTATCCATGCAATGCTAATGACAGTATCTAAACACTTTACCTTGCCGGTCACTTGAGTAGAAGTTGAAGAAAAGGGACTGGGGACGTGGATGCCAGGGACAGTTGTGTGTTCTGCTCTTTTTGTATTGGGCCCTCCAGGACCAGCAGGGCTTGGCCCAGTGAATGTGTTGAGGCAGGAATGATGGTGGTAAGTGGTCAGAAAGTGGCCCCCAAGCTTGGAAAGAGTAAGATGCTCACACTGGGTTGAGCAAATACTATTACATAGAATACACCTGGGGAGGAGTTCTCATCCAGCAGGAATAGGTGGCCGCAAGTACAGAAAACTCTGCAAAAGATGCTTCAGCCAACAGGGGCCGATGTCCCTCCTAGAACCGTGAGCCCAGACACAGATTCTTGCGAGTGTTGGCTGAGCAGCTCCAAGGACCAGGCTGCTGCCCAGCCTTCTTCGCTGTTCCCTTTAATGAAGAGTTTGTCCTCTCCTGGGTTCAAGATGTTGAGCGCACTGTGTGTGGGGCAGTGAGGCCCTCTCCTTTCATCAGAAAGCAAACGCTTTCCCAGACATACCCCAGCTGACTTCTGCTTAAGTCCATTGTCCAGGACGGAGACACAAACCCGGCCCGCATTCCCTAACTAGAAGGAAGGCTGAAAAGTTGGGAACAGCATGGTCCTGCTGGCTGCCTGAGCGGGAGACGTTGCCCCAGGGGTCAACTTACTGCCAGCCTGGAGAAACCCAGGGTTTTGTGAGCCAGCGAGAAGGGAGGCTAGGTATTGGGTTAATAACCTGGGGTCTGACACAGGTCCCCACCGGGAATTTGACTTTTCTAGATGTCGTCCTCCACATAAACCAATTACTAATACTGTGACAGCAGTCGTCACCATGGAGATTCTCTGAGGACTTGTGTGGGAGACATCGCACGGCCAGAATCTCAGATGGAGCCCTATCAGGCAGCTCCCCCAAGTTCTCAGACCCTCAGAGGTAACCTGCAGACTCCAGCTGAAATCTTGCTTTGTCACTGCTCCCCCCACCGACCCGACACTAAGTGGAAAGGCTGGAAAAAGCACACTGCGTTGACAACAGCACCATCTTCTGTCCAGCGAAACGTCAGCTTCTAAACAGAGCAGGGTGTTGGGCCACGCCACGGCCCACTCCTTCCAGAGCATGAATGCATGTGAGACGCATGGAGAACTTCTCCCGTGGGATTTGAGCCCTGGGTGCCTGTCTCATGTCTGTGTGTCCATCATCAGCTGTTTTCTATGGATACCTCCTAGCCCTGCAGCACTCACACGGTGGTGACGCTCCGGTCCACTGCTTCCCTGGCAGTGCCGTGGAGACCGAGCCAAACGCCTGCAGGGCGCCTGGACAGCTGCGGACAGCGGGTTTATGCAAACACTCCTGTAGGAAGGAGACGTGTGAGAGATCGTTTCCTTGGAGCATTTCCCTCGCTCACACTTCCTCTTCCCCATTCACTCCTCTCCTCTCCCCTTCCTGAGCCCAAAGCAGAGTCCATTTTAAATTAGGAACATAAGGAGAGGCAGGATGAAAATTCAGAAGTGTTTCCCAGACACCGCATTTACGGGCGAAGGGAATCCAGGCTGCCCTCCTTTAGCGATCTCGTGGAAGGATGGAAGGTATACAGCATGGACAACCCACACA